TGATGTTTCCCCTTTTGAATTTTGCTGAGTAAAAATGGGTTTATTCAACGGAAACTTATTTCAGGGCATTCATGCATGATTTGTAGGTAAGGTAATAAAATAAAGATCAGTTCACCAAAAATGTAAGTTTAGTTGCTGAAGTTCTGTTTCTTGGGCTTTGGCTTGCCTGTAAGCTACTGTGTAAATGTTTTTCCCTTTAGCATTAACTCCATTTCTTAATATGGATACTATGAAGGATAAGGGGAAATTTGTGCCCACGAATATGGGTTTTTTAAAGCACTTGGGGAGCGCTTAGTAATTAATGAACAAAAACTTGAAAAAGAAAGTTTTGATACTTAATGAGTCACATTCCTGTATATTTTATGTATTTTCTCATCAAGAGTAGTAAGCTGAAAAATTATTATTTAAGACTCTCTTTGGGGACCAGCAGGTGGCATGATGGTTAAGGTGCTAGACACTCCCACATGGCCAACCACAGTTCAAGTCCTGGACCTGGTGGCTTGCTTTCGCTCTCTCTCTGTGTGTCTCTGGTAAATTAAAACAAATGAATGAATAAATAAAGTTAAATAAAATAATTATTTAAAAAAAAAAAAGACTCTCTTTGGGGGCTAGCAGGTGGTGTGTTGTTTAAATTGCTGGACTCCCACATGGCCGACTCATTCATATCCTGGACCTGGCAGCTTGAAATAATGTTGGGCATGTGTGCATGCATGCCCCAAATCCCAAAAGAATGGACAAGAAAGTGTTATGGCTTGGTCTTCCCCTCTGCCCCCAACCCGGGTGATAACTCACTTTCCCTGTCTCTGTCTTGTGTACACACCCTATGGCAAAAACCTAAAAAGACTCAAAATTTGTAGCCTGGGAAGCTATTTCTGAGGATTGGTGGTTTGGTGTTTCCCCCCCCTCCACTGTTTTTATTATAATTAGTTCTGGAGAGAAATCAAGAAAGGTATATTTAATAAATTGTGGTGCATATGTTTGAGTAAAAAAAAAAAAAAGTATTTAGTGAGCAGAAGCCAAAGGTGAGGCTAGATGAGTGGGCAGAGTGCTGCAAGCCCCCTACAAGTGTCTGGACTATATCCTGAGGGGAACAGAGGCCAATGGAAGGGTTTAGAGCAGGAGACTTATAAGATCAGCATTCTGGAAAGAACACTGGGGGAGGTGGCTGTGTGAAATTGGGAAGAAGATAATGGTGGTCAAGGAGAGAGAGCAAATGGCATTAGATGGGTGGACCAACCCAACTCTGCAGCCCTCTGCCCCAGGAAAACTGCTGGCCCGCCTATTAATTCAGAAACCTGGCCCACTCATCTCCCCCTCCTCATAACACAGCACCTTCAGGATGTGTCCCTGTCTTCACGCCACAAGCACACCTCCCACGTTGTCGTCTGTATTAATAAACTGGACCTTTATCTAGCCCTTCTTCCCACTACACATGACTACACCTGAACCAGGAACTCAGTCAGTAAGGCCAGAGGAAGGTGGGAGGGTGATTCTGTTAACCTCACTCCTCGAAGGGACCACAGAGAAGCTGTAGATGGCTTGAAATAGTCACCAATTCATCTACTGTTTGGCAGTGCACCTGTGTTCCTAGCCACTGAGCACCTGGAGATCACTTAGAAGGGGTCACATCCTGGGGAAGGTTTCTGAACTGGGTAAACTGAAAATCTAGCATGGTGTTATAAGAGCAGGAGTAGGTACCAACTGCAGGAAAGGAGTCACCATCTTCATGAGAAAAACAGCAATGGCTGGAAGCTCTGCTGGCTAAGAAGCTTGCTCCTCCACTCCCACCCCACGCATACACCAAAACAACCATCTTTCTGCCCCTTTTCCCCCAGCTAGGGCCTATAGAATTCCTCCAGCCAGTTCCAAAGCTCCAGCAGGAGGCCATCTGACCTTGCTTCCATTCCTCTGAAACTCTTGTAAAACCAAGAGGCCCAGGGAACCAGTAGAATGGATAGAACCACAGACTGTGGGCCAGACCCATGGCCTACACGTTAAGAGAGCTGGATCCCATGTGGCTGACTATGTGGTTCAAATCCTAGCTCTGGTAGCTTAAAAAACATGTCAGGCACATGTGTATGAATACCTACAATCCTGTCAGAATGGAAGGTGAAGTGACTGCAGCATGACCTTGCCACCCTGGAAAGTGCTTTCTCCCTCTGCTTCCTCCATCTCTGGAAACACATGTATCCTCCAGCAAATTAAAAGGAACCCAGAGTGGAACAGCCTGGTAGACAAGGACTATATGGGTCTCTGTACACCCTCTCACCCTCCTGTGTGAATGCCAGCTAGGCCTGAGAATTAGGAGAAGGCTGGCCCTAAGTCCCCACTGTTGAAGGCTCTCCTATACCCTCTGAGCCATGGTATGGTACAACTTAGCCTAGCCCAGACCTTTTTTCTATATTAGGGCCAACAGGAGGCTCAGAGGAAAGTCAGAGTTTAGAAAAGTTCTTCATCCCCACATCATACATCCCAAGCACCTCAAGCTCTTGTTCGGTTCTTCTGTGTCACTCTCCACCCCCATGCCAAGACTAGCTACATGGGACACAAGGACTGCCCTTAAACAGCTCCCAATCTGGAAGGAGAGGATCAAGACCAGCCAACTACAATCTCAGAAAGGTAGTTTCTGAAGTCAGCAAAGAATGCTGAGAAGACAGGGTCAGCATTTTGTCCTCAAATGCCAGACTGAGGAGTTTGGACTCGATCCAGAGATCAGTCAGAGTTCTAAGCAGAAATAACACCTGGAAGTACCTAAATGTGTAAGACTGCAGGAGTAAGGGATACCTTACTCATCTGTGTATAAAGCCCATTCTTCTTGCTGTGCCTTCAGAAGACCTGCCACCCTCTCCAACCTGACTCATCTCTCCCTTGCAAGTGCGTATCAAAACCATTTGTCCCAAATTTGATGAGCTAAGGAGAAATCCTCAACCAATGGGGCCAGGATGGATGGGTAAGTGTTATGGCTACTGGCACAGGGAAGGATTTGGGAGTTTAAGTGGCCTAGTTTAAGGTGAACATGGTGAAGAGAACAGTGAGCAGAGACTTCAGGCCTGACTAGGCTCCATCGGTCCCAGGCCACGGACAGATCACTTTGAGACCAGGGTGGTATCACTGAGGTGTGCTCAAGTGAGACCATTCAAGGAACATATTCAACCAGGATCTTTGCCAGACATCTTCAGTCACAGACCACACACCAGCCTCCCTCACCCAACAGCCACCCAGTGGAGGACTCTCTCCCCAGTGCTTTGGGACCTCAGAGTCCCCACACTCCAGCCTCTATCTTAATAGCAGACCTCTGCCCTGCCTCTCCTCCACAGCCCAGAAATGAACCTGACCCTGCCAGAGCCAGGGCTTCTCCAGGGAATCCATACCAGTGAGAAAAAGCCTGAAGGAAAAAAAAAAAAAAAAACTCAACCCCATCAGGGTGGTAGACCTTAAGGCTTTATGCCTGGTCCCCAGAAGGTGCCTAGGGGCACACTGCTGTCTGTCCACTTCCAGTTGAAGAATAAGGAAAGTCAAAGGCAGCATTTCAAATGAGAGTTTCTAGTAAGAAAAATCAGAAATAAATCATGCCTAAAACTAAGTTGCTGAGATGGGACCGAGTCTGTCTTTCTTCTGGGTGGGGCCCCTTTTCTGGGAAGTTGGTTAGGGCAGTCTCAGTACAGAGTGACACATGAGCCATGGAGTGCCCTATAACAGGGCCAGCCTCACGTAGGCAGAGGACAGCTGCTCCTGCTCTCAGAGGGCCCTCGGGCCAGAGAGGACTAGAAGTCAGAGTCAGTTGCCCAAGGTTAAACAGCTATGGACGCCACAGGCTGCTGGGCCAGTAGTGCGGTATCCTTATCTGCACACGGAAGAATAAGAGTGGGCGGCAGGGAGGGGCAGAGCCAGGATGAGACAGAAATCTCACCCACCAGACCCCTGACTCAGATGCTAGCAGGGCGGCTGACTGCTGGCTGCCACAGGGGCCTGACTGGAGTGCCAGTTATCACAGAGCAATGGGGCTGACCATGGGGAAATGAGGGAACCAGCCTAGGCCCAGAAGGGACCCGACACACACACTGAGCCTGGAGAAGGGAAGAGAAGCCGCATGTTTACAGCTGAGGAAGCGGGGGCGGAGCGGGGCAGGGACCTTTGGTCAGAACACCCGCCCCTCCCAGTTAAGTGGGGGAGGCCCCAGGAGATGTGGTAGAGATGTGGTAGCCGTTTGTTTGCTTCTCACTGCCAGGAGGAAATTAAAAGAGAATCTGCCACTTCCTTCCGCCCTACATGGGATGGGGGAGGCCAGAGGAGGAAGGGTGGTATGACCTGGCAATCTTAACGGCCCCAAATTGCTGGTCAGAACACCCGCCCCTCCCAGTTAAGTGGGGGAGGCCCCAGGAGATGTGGTAGAGATGTGGTAGCCGTTTGTTTGCTTCTCACTGCCAGGAGGAAATTAAAAGAGAATCTGCCACTTCCTTCCGCCCTACATGGGATGGGGGAGGCCAGAGGAGGAAGGGTGGTATGACCTGGCAATCTTAACGGCCCCAAATTGCTGTTATCGGCAGGCGCCCGGGGCCCCCCCCCCCCCGCCAAC